AATCTTGACTACATTCTCAAGAACGTGACTTAGGAAAGTATATTAATATCCACTTTTTTATTAAACTGTAATCCTTGAACTTTAAGCATCTCAGAGTCATGAAGAATTTAATGGATACTCCTTTTTATCACAAGAAGAGATACATTTCGAATGTGATGAAATTGAAAATAAATTGAATTTCAAGTGCCGCTAAACGTTAAAGAAAGCCTTTTAGTTTTATAATATTTGTTACACTGTACGTTAATGTAGTGACGCAAAGACAATTATAGATCCAAATTCAATCACCGGTTAACAAGTAGGTAATTCATGTAATTAATGTTAGAAATAAAAGTCCTTGACGATAAAAAGGAATTTCATTAAAATCGAATAATGAATTTGAACTTAAATAGCAGTTGCAATACAAAGGAGCAAATTTTTATTACTTCTTTGAATCGAGAATCTAAATTTTAATTTATCGAGTAGCGCTTAGAAACAATTAACACACATTTTCAGTTTTTTGTTAAAATACATAAGCCTTATATTTTTCATTTCATATTTTATGATGACCTTATCTTACTATATTGATTAGGATTCAATATACAATTCTTTAATGGCAATTTTATTTAATCAGTAGCAAAGTCTAGCTACTTTGTAGGTTTGATATTTATCTTGACAAAGAATATTCGCTTAATTTTTCCCAAATCATACCCCCAGAGGTTTTTTTTTTAAAATTGGATGGGTTGAGAATAGATTGATCATTTAGGTTCGTAAAGCAAATTCCAGAACTTTTACGAGCTGTTAGAAGAAGAGGTTAAGAACATGATACTTAAGAGGTAACCTAAGAAGTTTAAGAAGTTATAGTAGGCTATTTGAATACAGCAGACACACGAGGACTGTTTGCTTATGAGAAGGGAAGCTTTCGCGGAGGACGTTCCAAAGGAAATTGGTTCGTACTTTTATCTCTGGAAAAAACACTAAAATATGTAGACATCCCATTGATCTGATCTCGAACCCTCATCGAGCTATTCAGCGGTCTTTACGACTAAGTCGCCAGTGGGGGGCTGTATCAAGAGCTAAGTTTATAAATGAGTCTTTCAGATATACCTGGTTTTGAGTTCTCTGTATTTCGCGGAATGCATATATACATAAGTGAAAACATATTGAAAACTTACAGTTACTTCCAATTCCACTTAAAAGAATCTGAATTTGGGATGAAGCGAAAGGTATTTAGTCATTTTCAATTCAGCTACTCAGTTATTGGAGGAACTGCTTAATATGAAGACCTCTTCTGCAAAACTCTTTTTTTTTTAAGTAATTCAGCTTTTCAGCTTTGTCCACTCCTAAGACCAGAAGTGGTGGCCATTTTATTGTGGAGGCACCTAATAGGCGGCTACCGTTGCCTCCTATGAAAGAACGGACAGTTACAGCCATGCCTTCTTCGGAATTTGAATCCGGGCTCTTCGGTACCTCAGTAGAGTCCCCTAACCACTATACTGTCTTAGCGGCTCTTCTTCAAAAATGCAAATCCACTTGCGGATAAAAAAGTAGATATTCAGGGTATTTCGTTGTTGTCATTGGTATTTTAAATATTAAATCTCCTATTTAATATATTCGCTGTAAGATGAGGACCTTTTCGTTACCCAATTTAAGACGCCTTCCTGAGAAATTTATCGGAAAAGAAACTGTTAGCAAACTGTTATAATTAAAAAAAAATTCGAGATATTAAACTTGCAGTACAAGTTACTTAATTATTTGTTGGTAAGAACATCAAACAAGATTCAATCGGTTACGACTTAGCAAATGCAGAGTAATCCGATCTTGAGGAATTAGTATTTTGCTTTATTTTGAAACCATTTCCTAATATTTTTTTATTTCATTCAATAATTCGAGTTTTTACATTAAAATTTAACCTGGAAGCGTTTAATTAACCGTGGCTTAGATAAAAAGGTAACAGCCTGAAAAGAAGGTAGATATTTTTACTCGTGAAGATTTAAATCTTAGGAGAAACATTATGTATAATGCAGACAGAAAATTTTAGCACACGTAGCATTACTTACTTAATCCTAATAGTATTTTTGTTACATTTTAAACCTTCGCTTTCTATCTAGAGTGCTGTTCGGATGATGAAAAAGGATCTAATAATAAAAGGTTTGCTAACTAATCAGGTTTAATAGGAAAGTAATTATTCGAGAAACTGCTTCGTTTCGAACTTCCCGAATATAGTTCGATATATTTAGCTTTATCATTTTTCTTCAAATAGTATAAGGTAGCAGAATTGTTTTGGTAGCGTCAGTTTATTATATTCTTCACGGTTTCTCTAAATGTAAGCTGATATAAATAGCCACGTTTTATTGATTTATTTCTGCGCAGGAAAAATGTGATGCTTTCATTTTAAACTTAAACGAAGCTTAGATTCTTAGGTTATTTTTGTGAAGGTTATAAGCCAAGAGAAAATTCTTAATCATAATTCCTTTTATAAAAGCAATATACAATTATCTCATAATATAATCTTCTTATCCTAATATATCTTCTAACTGAACTGTAATAAATAATAATTCATGTAACAGAAGTTTGAAAAAAATCATATTTGTTTTAAATTCAATATTTGCTTTAAATATTCAATGTATGAAAATTAACATAACATAACATTAATTTCTAATAATAAAATCAAACATAATAAAATTAACGAACAAATGCGGCTTGAAGTAATGTATAGTTAATATCTAGTAATAACAAAAATGTACATGTATCTAATACTGAATTTAAGGGATAGTATTTTAAAGCGATTGGTTATTTATCGGAGCAGGAATTACGAGAAACAAGCGATACTCTGGACATTCAGATTCAATCCGAATGTGCTTCCAGTTACTCCACAAAGGCACGCGTTAAGAGGGGAGAGAATACTTTACATTTACCTCGATTTAAAGGGTCGCTGGAGCCAGTCGCTAAATCCTGGTTGGGATGAATTATCACCAGCCACATTTTAACTCAAGCCTTAATTGTAAAGTGATTATCGCAGCATGAAAAATAGAAAAATTAGCAATGCCCTTGACGGAATTCGAACTTCGGACTTCCCGATGCTAGCCGGACAGGCTTCCAATTACACCATGAAGGTACGCGGTAAGTTGGGAGAAAATAACCTTGCAGCGATTTTATTGCTCCTTTTCGTTATTAAATGATGAGCCGAAAAGATAAACATCTAATTTTCAAAGCAACATCTTTATATTAAACACTTGCACAGAAATACATACGCTAGAAGACAAATGTTTCAAGTAACCTGTGTTAAGAGATTGCAAAATTAAACTTTTGTTGCTTAAATTCTAGTAGTTATATGAATATTAGTTTTTTTCTACTTTTAAGTCAAAGCAGGAAATAAGAGCCCTAAAGGAAAAATAATGTAGTTATGTCCATGCAAAATTTAAACTATTAGCCGTATTTACAATGCATCGTTATGGTATTAGCTGCTATCAGAATTGGATACCTCTGAGTTATTTGAAAGAAAGTAATACTTATCTTAACTTACATGCGTAGATGTTGATCTATGTACGTTAGATGTAATTGACTAAAAATCATATGTGATTACTTACAGAATTTCTATTTGAAATTATGTTGTTGTTATTATTGACTAATGCTCACTTGTCAGAACTATAGCCAGCCCAAATCCACGAAATTCCTCGTGGCAAGCAGCGCTAGTTTATGCCTGTCGTTGGCAACAGCTTTGAGGGAGAGCACCCCCGGGAACGTGTCCGAGGGTTTCCCACCCCTCTTCCTCTACCAGCAACCTCTCAAGAGGAGTTTCGGTATTTTTAGAGTGCCCCCATGCCGCACGGACAGTATATATTTACAAACATCCATGTCTTCTCCGGGATTCGAACACGGGCCCTTCGGCACGGCAGTCAGCGACGCTAACCACTATACCGGTTGGGCTGCAAAATTATGTTAAATATGAACAGGAGCTCTGGCTATTTTTAACAGCCATTTTAAATAGCTTTGGTGAGTGGGTATGTGCATACCTACAAGGAATGCTGGAAAAAGAGTAAATCGACATAAATAAATAAAAATGTTAAGAAGGGATTCTGCATGTCAGTGTTGAAATTATCAACACTTACAAAAGGATTCACTTATCAACACTTGCAAATTATGAACATTTACAAAAGGACACTTTAGTGTACTGTTTGGGAATACTTTTCTTAAAATTATTTTCATATAAAATCTATTTTACATTAAAATGTCTTAGTTTTGCTGCCTGAAATGGAAACTGTTTAAACGGTATTTCTTAAGTTGTAGAAATTCGACAAGTATTTGTTCTATTTTGCTGGCATAATTACTAATTTAATTTTTATTCAGTATTTTATGCAAATGAAAAATTAATTTGTTTACCTAGGTTCTTCCAGTGCAGATCTAAAATATGAAACTATTATTGAAATAAGGATACTTATAATGCATAATGGATGGTTATAAAATTCCAAAAGGGAGCACATCTGCTTTTCTAAAAAATATTTTTCATTAGTAGAAACAAAAATAATATACTGTTGGTATTAAATACATCTTCTAGCATTTGACGAATTTATTATCTTAATTTACAGTACATATGTATGAAATTAAACTACACCGTCTTGCTAGTTTAATTAAGATTCTCTTACAGTAGCATGTAAAATAAAACTATGACTTTATACAAGCTCCTATGACATAAGTTTGCAAAAAAAGCCGTAGATCTGTTTCATAGGAAACTACTTGATTGTTCTACTCTTGTTTCCTAAAATTTTATTCGGGGCCAGTCGAATCTAATTATCTAAAACGTTATTGCATTTTATTCGATGAATATTGTAATAGCTTTAGAAGTTATCCTTTAAAATTAAATCATTTGCACATAAATCTGCTGATCTCTCAATCACAAGTTGTTTTTGCTTTTGTTTCACAAGTTTTTATCATAAGTTATTTTTACAAGTTAAGAGAACTGTTTGTCTTTATTTAGAGAAGACAAACGTTACATTTTGTTTCTTTTCTTTCTTTTAATGTAGGCTACTTTATAAAGGCAAAAGAAGAGATTTCATGGCGAGAGGGAAAAGATTACAATGGTGTTCGAAAAGATGTTCTGGAAGTAAGGAGTAAATGTTTGATGATTGAAGATGTTTTCTGCTATTATATTACGCAATTGTTCCAAATGCATTGTATTCTTTCGTTGAATCAGATGTAAAATCTGCTCTAATGAAACGATTAGACCGATATGTAGCGCATCATCATATGTAATACTGGCATTATGGTATCATTTTTTATTTATAATTTTGCATGCATACTAAAATGAGGAGAAGAAACTCACATTGTGGGCGTCTCTCAACTTTCGTTTATTCACATTTTTTAAATTTTCATATAAAAAACAGAACTTATTACGGATGCGAGATATACTTCTTTCGAGTAATTTTGTACCACTTTGCAGATTTAAAGAACAACTTTTGTTCATGTTAATGTAATTTTGTATATACAGCTGTTTCTATAAACTGAGGAATAGTAAAACAAAATCACAAGGAAAGGAACATCAAAGATTCAAGAGAATATAAATTATAATATTAGCTTTAACATTGCAGGAAAATATTTTATACGGGAAATATTTTCCACCGAAACAATAACTCAGAGAGAAACATGAATAAAACGAATTGTGACACTTTAGCAGGGAATTGCTTCAGCATAATACGGGCCAACGTTTACAATATTTTAAGATCAAAAGCGATATTGAAAATAAAATTATGATGATGTTTCTCAGCTGAATAACAGGGAATCATTTTTCTTTTAAACTAGGTGTAAACTTCTACTGGTATCGACTGAGAGTCTGAGGATGGAAACATGTTTTTCTAAAACTCAAATTCACAGCTCGATCCTGTCTTCTCATACTCCACATGTAATACCTTCTCTATACTACTGGCTAGCAAATGAGTTGCTTACAAACGAAAACCTCAGTTTTGATTTGTAAGCAACGGTATATTTAAAGTTTGTTATTTTGGTGATAGCGGGAATCTGGTTCTGTCGGCATCGGATACTGCTGAACAATGCTTTGTAGACAATGTTTGGAACTCATCTGTGACTTGCGCTTCTTCATTGTTCTTCGTCTATTTCACACTGCTGTGAATCAGATTAAATCATATTCTGTTGCTTAAGGACAGGTGTATGGACGTTCCTGAAATGAAAATGTGACCAAAGAGTACAGATCACATCGATGAAGTTTTACGCATTCAATAAAAGATAGTTTATTATTTTCGGCAGAGACAATCATAGTCGAACAAAGTAGGATCCTCCTCTCTCTTAAAATCAATGCATATATCTTATGCAAGGACCTAACTTTTATGTTTTGTTTATTGAACTTCTAGGATAAGAAATTTAAGCTGAGAGACTGATTCCAAAATCTATGAAAAGGAGAGTTCACTTTCGGCCATAATGTTGAGTTTGAATGACTTCGATGTGCCTCGAGCTGATTAATGACTTCATATCACAGATCGTGCGGCAAATGATAACTCAAACTCTTTCATTTAAAATGCTATCTCGATTTTATTTATATTCTAAACAAAAAATAAAAATCCATTTCAAACAACCATTTTTATGTTAATATTCAATAACAAAACTGATATTCAATAACAAAACTGATACGTAGCGTGATGTTATTCAAAAAGTGCATTTTCAACCAACGTTTTTGCTACCAGAACTCTTAACTCCACTGCCCTTGAATTACGTTGATCATTTACCTTTTCAGAAAATCTTCGGATAGCTCAGTAAGCAGAGAGAGGGATTATAAAAGATCAGGCAATCCATCACTATGTTATCATTAATAGTATTATCTACTGTTAAATGTACCCATGGATCGCGTGTTTATAAAGTCAGAAATTGTACCAACTTAACATATATTCATAAAAACAACAGAATTGGCATTTGTTTATGTGTTATATCAGTGTCAGTACTTAACTGCATCAATCTATCACATATTTTCTTAGCAATTATATAAGCTATAAGGAGCTGAAACATCCACCCGTGTGATATAATGATCAGCATACCTAGCCTAAAAAAATTACAGGTCTTGGAGTCAAGTTACGGCGAAGATATGATTGATTTTTCGAGATTTCTGTCACAAAAGGCCTGATGATTCTATAAAATAATGTTATCTACGTCAGCAAGGGATTCATTACCAATATTATATTCATATGAGTATATGAATAATTGATCATGATAATCAGACTATTAACTAGCATATATTGTAAATAAGGAGTAACATTCATAATTAAAAAGAAAGTAATTTTTTGTGTAATTTAACCGTTATTATAATTAAAATAATTCATTGAAATTTAACACGGAAGAACATATAAATAGAAGGTTATAATAGTTTACATAATTAGAGTTAAAATTATCATCTGTACAATTTAAACGCAAATGTCTATAATGGGATTTATAATTTAAGTACTGAAATCTTGACAATCCAGGAACACTTGTTGGAGAATTTTAGATGGTTTATTTAATTTAATTATGGCAAAGCACTCGAGGGCTATGTGCCTAACGGAAAGAATGCCTTCGTGGAGGACTTTATAAGGAAAATGGGCTGATATACATGCTACAAGTGGGGAAAAGCACGAAAACGCCCATGAAGTCAGCCCGTTCGCCGATATTCGAACCCGAACCGAACTACCAGTGTTCAGCGATTTTACCACTCGATAGCTGATGGGCCGGAGACTTTTAGAAGTGGTGGTCATAGGCGTTATAGCCATTAATCAATGGTAATCTCCGGAGTGTAAGCCTGCTTTCACATATCCCCTATTCTGTTAGAGATATTTGGAGTTATTTAAAGATGCTTTTGAATTTTGAATCGTTGTTACTCTTTTTCTGTGCCTTTCGTATTCTATATTCCCAATAGCTGCTGAGTCGTATTTAAATTTCATTCTCTTGATTATTTGATTGCTTGAGAAGTGGAATAAATTTTTGGTTTTCAAGTGATTCTTTTGCTTTTCTGCTGTTTAGCAAAACAGTTCTATATTTTATTTTAAATTTTTCTCACAGATTTGCTTATCTCTTGTATTTATTTTGTTTGGCTACCTTTGCATAATTAATTTTCTTGTGAGGTGTTTCGCTTCCGTTATCTTAAACTTTCCTTTTGAATTTTTATTCAGAATTTTAATTTGTTTGTGAATTATACTTCATATACATCTTAATTGCTTTTTAATTAGTCAACTATTTATGCTTATAACAAAAATAAAAATAATTTCAGGCCTTATAATACTAAAACTTATAATTTATGATAATAAAGTTAGCAATAACTAAATGTTAATAAATTAATCACCTACGAAATATTATACCATTTTCTATAAATTTTTTTAGAAAACTAATAAGTAAATTCTCTTATCTTAAAATCTCAATAATAAATATTTGAGGCAGACTAATAATATAAGAAAACTGCTATTGTAAGATATAAAAAAAATAATTTTTTATGAAAATAATTTGAATAATTTATCACTTGGGAATAATTTTTTTAACTCTGAAGGTAATTCTAAGTTAAAAATATTTTAGCAATTTTTAAATTCAGAGAATCTATTGAAAGAAATAATATTAAGGTAATTTAAAAAGTAATCACAGCGAATAACTATTCGAAAATGCAATTGTATTTTCAGAGAAAAATTCTCAATAAGCTAATTAGAAGAAATTTAAATTAATTGTAATGTAATGCACTGTTTTTTAAGTCATTGCATGATAGAAATAGGAAAGCTTTTCTTATTAATCTAAGGAAGAGTATTTGAATTTGTTTTAATAAAGTATTCAGATGCATCTGAATAAAGAAATAGGAAGTTAGAATTTTGCATTATTAGATAGTCCCTTCAATCCTTAAACGCTGCTAGGAACTTGCATTAATGAGTTGCGCTAAACCGAGAAATCTAGACAACATGAGCGCATTCGTTGCTAGCTTTGTCTACTCGAAACCCTTACCGCGCCATAAATTTCACCTTTCAAAACGAACATTTCCTACGAGTCAAGTTTGGCTTTATAATTACACATATTAAAGGAAAGCTGGCGCTTTCTACGGTTCGTATATCAATACTCATGCTATTTAGGGACATGTTTCTAACGTTGGTTTCCCTTCCTCTTCCTCCCCTGCGGCCGAATTTCAACTACCTTTAAGGATAATTTCTCTCTGCCAAGCAGCTCAGGCCCTGCGACAGCCGTCGTTTTTAAGGACGTCAAACAATCCATTTTGACTTAATTACTCAGTAACGTTAAACATGGGAAGGTAGTTGTTTTTTTACTTTTTTTATTTTTTTCCTCAAAAGGTTTTCTTTCTCAAACTGTGTTTGAAAAGTGGTGATTTATAGAACGTAAAACAGGGTTTAAAGATGTTTTCCTGTCAAACTCTAAAAATGGTTCTTCCTTTTTCGCTTTGTGGCCGTTTAAGTTTTACAGCCAGCAAATTGTGCGACCGAATATCTCCTCTAACGATATAGCTCAGACATTAACATTTTATTAAAGAGCATAGTTGGTCATTAATTTTCACCTGACGTATTAGAAGCCTTAATTAGTACTTAATGATCTAACTTACGGGTGGCGTAATCTATGGTGTAACGCGGAAAACATTCGTAGCATAAAAGTGTAAGCCTCCCCCCTTCATTTATTAGCTTTTTTTCAACGATCGTTTTTCATGCGGGCTGGTAGTGGCGGGGGATGTAAATTAATTCGCATTTACAAATATTCGTTCATGAGTGCATTTTATTGAGCAATTAGCGGCCAATAACTTTTCACAGTTTGTAAAAAGTTGGAAAAAATTGTTTTCACACATTGCTAAGTTTTACAGCTTGCTTATTTTATACGAAGGTGTCGGCAAGCAAATCACTAATTAGTTTATGATATACGTTTACATTTCTGTTATTTATACATTTTCAACCTGAACGGTTTATGAGATGAAGGGTTGACGCGGAAGTTGGGAAGTAAAGAGCGCAAAAAATGACAAATTAAAGGGAGTTCAATTTTTTATGTCTGTCATGTTATTAATTAAGGAAGCTTATAAGCCGATATACACACGAAGGGATGTCGGAGCTTTGGGACATTTGAAAAATTGTTACATATGTTAGATATTTTGTT